ATTGCTTTCCTTATTAAACATGGTTTTGAAAAAGAAGTTCAAATGTTCATAGATGGACAACCACCAACTGAAATCGAGCCCTATATTGTACATAACATGACAAGAACATATGTAAAGTTAAGCTTTACGTCAAGTGTTGGTAAACAGTAAAAAAAGAAACAGTTTCATCCAGCCTTACACAGATTAGAAGAGAGGAAGTAACATTCAGGCTTATGGGCAGGGCTCTCTTGATCAGAAAGGGACCAGTGTTCATGGTTAGGGGGAGCAGCTTTATTCAGTTACGTTAACGATATCTTTTGCCAAAATAAACATCTGGTAAAGGCCAACGCAGAGCAGAGGCAGTCACCACCCACATTTACGCTTTCCTTTTTAAGTTACAAATTCTTTCTGTTTGGAAAGAACCAGGAGGAAAATGTATGCATTTAAAAAACATGTTTATTTGTATGAGGTACATCTAAGAAAGGTGATGTGAGCCATGTGAGCCTTAAGAGAAAAGTTCTCAGTTTAAATTTTAAAAGTCCATCAAGAGCTCTGTGATGAAGAATAAGAACTATTTAAGAATATATATATATATATATATATATATATATGATATTTTCAAAAATTCAAACTTCAAAACTACCTTGATGCAATTCTAACTGATTAAATGAATAAATAATCTACAACAGACTGGCAAAAGGTGTAACGTGCCTTTCTTTCAAAGACTGCCAGAGATAGGCACCGGCCCTACTGTGGGAGAAGATGGATGGATTAATGGATGGATGGATGAATAAATAATTGGCAGATTAACCTCTTAGCCAAATAATAATTGTTTGAAACGCTACTAAACTGTACATCCTTTACATTTTCAAAATAATATTGTTTGTTCTAAACACCTTCTCAGGTAAACCACTATGTTCTATGTTACATTAAAGCTAATAACTGACCGAGTGAATACAAATGTATTAACCTATCCTTTTTTAGGGATATAGAGTAAATTTGATCTCTTTAAGACCAACAATATACTAGAGGAAGTGTGATAAATAAGTTACTTGGGTCTAACCTGTTTGCACACTGATATCAGTCTTCCTTTTTTATGATTCTGAGTAACTGTGAATCTACTTGACATTACCACTGACTTCCTTTGAGTCACAACGTTTCTCTAAGTATGTAACTGAGGCTTACAGGAATATCTGTTAGATCCAACATTGTGGTCCTTAGTTTAAGACAGACAAATATTTATAGATATAAACTACATTCATGCAAAATACAAGCACTTTATTTAGATCTGGGGTTTTTTTAGTCCCTCAGTACGTGAAATCGGAGGTTGTTTTGTTCTAAAAAAAACGCTGATGTTACAACATTCTTGGTAAATGGTTGGGTTCTTAGTAAGGTTATATTTGAAATATGTTCATGTGCAACAGGATAAGAAAATATGGAATTTTCCTTCATGCTTGAGGTCAGTATATTTGCTATGTGGTGCTGGAGATGAGAGGGGTTATTGCTGACTCATGAGTCCAACAAAAAAAGGGTGTCACTTCTGATAAACACAGCTGCTCAAGACAGAGACATATTTCTTACCTTAATATTCGCAATTTTATCAATACTCAGTTCTTTTGAAGGTTCATTTCTTTTTATTATTATTATTTTTTTAAGCAACTGTTCAATTGTATGGCTGATCACTTTCTGTGTAAGTCAGCTACAAGGACAATGCATGTTTCAAGGCTAAGATGACCTTTGAGGTCCTGTTTTTACCTTATTTGGGAACTCTGTGGTCAGTGAGTATATTCAGAGAGATCAGCTATAAACACTGGTGGGCAAATCCTAAGAGGGTGTGTAGATTTGTGATAAATAGATGAGAAAAACTCTGAGCTATTTTGCTGTTCCCAAAGCTATGGTCAGAATGCAGGCCTAAAACAAAGAAGGTGAAGTCTGCCTCAGTAATCTGAGCTTTAACTTTGTTGAATAAATTTTGTTAATACATAAAGAAACTTTCTTACTTTTTGTCCACTTTCTGAGAAACATTCCCTCTCGAATAAAACAAACCGGCAGAGATCACAGTTGAATTCTTTTGTAGTTTATGTGCATACATATAATTAATAATTGAAAATGGATTTTTCATTTTTTAATCAGAAATTTAATTATCTAATGGTGCATTTTTAATATCTAAACTGTGTATTAGATAGATAAATACATTAGTGTTACATTGGTGCATTTATTTATTTAACTGGACATTAAAGTTCATGTTTTCCTGATATATTTTTGCTCCTCTATTTACTTTAGGGATCAAATCACAATAATTGTAAAATCCATCCAACCACCTCTGACCTGTTCCTCACAAACCCTTGGAGGACCCTGGCTTAGATAAATGTTTCTGCTGCAAGCAGTTATTTGATCAATTCTTCTGAAATATGCTCATAAATCTCTCCAAAAGGTGCCAGGCAGTTGCCTCCAAATAACAACACTCTATAAGTCTCTATGCTGGGACTTCCTGTTCTTTACTGGAAAATTAGTTTTAAAAACCGTGAAACTATATTAAAGCTTGAAAAAATATTGCTTTCACTACTAAAGCATTAGCGTGCAATTTTAAACATAACGGCATACCTTCTCTGCAACCTTTAGCTGAACTTGCATAACCATTGTCCATTTTTTATTTTTGATCACAGTTTTTTAATATATAACTTTAAATGTAAAATAAATACAGCCTGAACTCATCTTAAAAGATAAAGTCGTAAATTATGACAAAGTAACTTAATAGGATGATAGCTTTGTCTAAAGATTACTATGGATAAAGTGACAATATTATCTTTAATTATAAATCTAAAAAGCATGTATAGAAATCAAACACTTGAAATATTCAGTAAAAGAAGATTTTTTGCAACTACACTATGACATTCAGACTTTACATTAATACAGATTTTATAACTGCTCTCATTAACATGTTATCTGACAATTTCATCTTGGGTCAAAACATGTTTTATATTATTGAAACATTTCTACTGAGCCAAAGGGTCTTTTAGAAACTAACGTCGAAAGTGCTTTTAAACTTTTGAAATTAGGTCAATGCAGCTGTGACCATGTTTGAACTAAAATTAATGAACAGATTATTTTATTATCCCCTAAAAATTATCCCCTTTAAAAAGACGGTTTTCTCTGATTAGTTGATAGAGTGGTTTTCCCCACTTCTTAAAAAAAGCATTTGAAACCACAGCTCCACACACTGAAGATGCTCATCCCAGCAGCCAGACCCAAAGCGACCGCCATGGGTCTGTGTCCGTTGAATGTGCCAAACCCAATGTACTTCACTGTTGGTCAGTATTTTTGTACAACATTTCTATTTTAATACATTCACAACACACTAAACTCTGCAGAGCTAAGGTTACTGAGTTGAGGCATGGTTTGTCCACATAAGGATTGATGCACAGTAAACACATTTGAAGTTACAACATTGTTTCGTGCAAATGTTGATATTAGGAACTGTGTGGGTATGGCCTTAATGGGGAAGCTACAGGCTGTGTGGGCCTATATCCCAAAGAGTGTGAAACTGAGGCTGGAAATGTTTTCTCAGCAGCCGTAGCAGCATATTTGGTGTGGTTTCCAAGTTTCAGACACCTTAAACTTGAGAGCAGAAGAATAAAAGATAGATGTGCACATTATGTTTTATGCTGTCAATTCTATTTATGATTTTTTTTCTTGGGGGAGAGGCTTGGATATCTGAAGGCTCTAATAAAAATCCATTAAACTTGTGCAGTTTATGGTAATTGGGTTGAATTTACAGTTCAACCGTATTATCACTGTGCATTTTCATGGCTAATGTCATCTTTCTATATATATATATCTTTTTCAACTTTACTTTCTTGAGCCTCAAGCTCAAGATAGCTGCATAACCTCAAAAGGAAAAATTGCACATTTTTGTCAAAGTAACTTAAATAGGATATAAGCAAAACTGGAATAATTAAATCAGAAAGTAAATGGAAGTGCTTTATGATTCTCTAATGGTTAGCGGTTTTCCTCAGTTCTTTTCTAAGTTTGACAACTTTCTTATTTCATGCAAAACATGACATGCTTTTTTTGTTCCAACCAAATGCCTTATAAGAATAAAATCCTAATGTCAAGGCTGCAGACAGGATAGAAATTAGATTAAATCTTCACAGTTGGGTTTATGACATGTATACACAATTACAATAAAAGTAATAATAAAAAGAGGACCATTGATCAGAACTATTAGTTCACAAGTAGTTTTAGTAAAAACTCATGTCACACCAAACCGCTCTAAAATGAATCCCCTCCTCCCCTAAAATTAATCTCCTGCATAATGGACTACATGAAGAACTACTAGATGTTGTAAAGCAAATCTTCTGCTTTTGAGCTGCAGTTGAAGCTCTGCAGTCATGCTACGCTTTGTGGACCCTTTGGACGATCTGTACATTTCTACTCAAAGATGTTATCAGAGGTTGAAAAGTCTGCTCTTTCTCATGGCTTAGGTCTGCTGCCATTGCAAAACAGCAGTAATAGTAGGAATCTGTTTTTGACTACCATGAAGTGGGGAACAGTATCTGGGATTGTGGCTTTGGGGCCCCACAGCCAAATCTCCCCAAGCAGGTAATTTGTAAATAGGGGCCTTTTTCTAGAGATTCTCTGTCAGACACGGATACAGAAAACTGGGAACACTTTTTGTTAGATGTAATTAGTAAATACTGATGGTGATTTTTAAAATAACCATGAATGAATATAGATCAATTTGAGGGTTTATGACTGGACTGTTAAAAATATTTCTTCTTCAACATAAAATGGAGAATTCTGAAATATTAAAGTGGTGAACTTAAAATTTTTCCTGACTTAAGTGTAACTTTAAACACTTGATGTTAACTCAGTATTAAATCCTGGATGTAGCAGTGTTACCTCTGTGTGTGTTTTTTAAGGCAGGGGGGCTTATGTTTTTTTAGTGGGCCAGCTAGGCAAATGGGCGGAGTGAGACTTCTAGGAAAAGTGAAAAGCTTTCATTTGAGCTGGCACAGTTAGGAGGGCAAGCAAGCATGAAGATATATGTTTTTCTTTAAGGGTATGGATTGCTTAACCCTGACTCGAGTGTAACAAAGTTGTTTAAAGAGAAGAGATTTTTCTAACTGCAACATGATTTACTGACAACTACAAAATATCGACAGGCTTCATTGATTTAAACCATGGCAACGGCAACCCTGACAGGTTTCTCTGTAATGAGCCTGCTGAGCCTTGGGTACCTAAGCTGGGATCTGATGGGTCCAAATCAGGTGGAAAATGAGCCTGATCAATTTTTTGATGGCAGGTCTCCTGTCCAGCAGCCTCCTCATATAATCTTTATCATGACAGATGACCAGGGATTCAACGACATTGGCTACCACAGTTCTGATATTAGCACACCAGTGCTGGATAAACTGGCTGCAGGTGGTGTGAGGCTGGAGAATTACTACGTACAGCCCATTTGTACACCATCCAGAAGTCAGCTCATCACTGGAAGGTAGGAGTGTTTTTCATAGTATGTTTTTTTTTATTTTTTTATTTCCATCTGAAACAAACAAAGATATAAATAAACACTGCATATTTTCATTTTATTACATGCAGCATGCCAGACCAAATAACATGTGGAACAATACAATTTTGAAATATATGGACATTTAAAATACACAAAATTGCCTTATCATGTCAATCTACCAAATTAAATAGGACATCTAGTGGGAATTTATTTTTAATTTTAATGAAAACAATATTTAAAAATAATGTAAATTTAGTTTTAGTGTCTTAGTGGCAAAAGCAGTTCTTCATGATAACTGCATGCACCCATGGACCAATGTTTTGCTATGTCTTGTTTAATAAAACAAAAACCTACAAGGGTCATATAAATAGCAAATCTGACAAAACCAATAATAGATAATTATTTTTTTTTAAATAAAAGTTAAAAAAACCAGACATCAAAAAGTTAGAAATCGCTTCCATGCTTCAACAGAATGATTGAAAAAAAATAAACTCATGAAACAGGCCTGAACAAAAAATGATAGGGCCCTTAAATTAATATTTTGTTGCACAACCTTTTGATGCAATCATTGCAGTCAAGCAATTCCTGTAACTGTCATTGACAGTGGCAGGAAAAAGCTTTGTCTGACAAGTTGCGGGGCCTCTACCCTCCCAATTCTGAAAATTCATACCTGTTTTATATTTTCCTAAAACTGGCCATTTCTCAAGGTTTCTTTGATTCTTTCTATGCCAAGACACATATAATTGCTCTTTATTCAGGCAACTAATATTTTTTTTAACCAAAGTATTAGTTTATATGTGTAATTCATTTTGTGAACATTTTATAATTCATTTTAAGATTTCATGAAAGGGTTTTAAAAAGAAAAATGGCTTGAAATGCAAATATATAAAGAATAAACAGGAACTTTATGCAGCTATTTCGATAGAACCTTTACAAACTTATTAGAACTATTAAATGGTTGGATGACATAGAAACAGGCAGACAATGAAAAGCAACAGGGGTCTGGCACTTAAGTAGAGGAGGGCAGGTAATGAGGAGAAAACAGATTAACTGAATCTACTAATTATGAAAGCCTCTGACTGAGGGAGAAATGTTTAAACAGACTTAACAGGTGACAACACATTTTAGCCTGACTTTGTACATCCACTTCTTTGATGTACCGTTTCCTTCTATTAGACCTCCTGTTGTTTATCAGAGCTGACATCACAAGTGAATTTCTCCGTTGTGAGATAAATAAAGTCCTTATCTCATCTCATCTTATCTTAAACATACTAGGGAAAACCTATCCAAAATATAAGAATAGCCATTAACTAAAGTAAAGACAAAACCAACTAAATACTAAAAAATAAGGAAGAGAAATAGACAGAGAACTTAAACAGCAAAAAAATAAATAAAAATAAATAAATAAAAAGCTAATGACAAGCTAATGACAAAATTATTAAAGTTAACCAAAGAAACAAATAGTGTACAAAAGTAAATCAAAAGACTTTAAAGAACCCACCCATGTGACTTAGTAGGATTTTGGAAAGACAGAGCATTCACCCACACAAACTAAGTTATTAAGTTCTGTCAAAAGGGCCTAATAAATACTCATAACGGCAATTTAATTTAAAACAGAAGCTCATTAGCTACTTTCGACATCCAATTGAAATGTTTTTTTTTCTGTGTAGATTAAGTATCATGAAGGCTGAGTTATATTTAATTAATTTCCTTATTATATGTAACTCTGCAGGTATCAAATTCATACTGGTCTTCAGCACTCCATTATACGTCCACGTCAGCCTAACTGCCTGCCCTTCGACCAGGTCACCCTCCCTCAGAGGCTTCAGCAGCTAGGCTACTCCACCCACATGGTGGGCAAGTGGCACCTGGGCTTTTACAAGAAGGAGTGTTTGCCAACTCGTCGAGGATTTGACACATATCTGGGCTCTCTGACAGGCAGCATGAACTACTACACGTATGAGTCCTGTGATGGCCCCAAGATTTGTGGCTTCGACCTCTATGAGGGGGAGTCTGTCGCCTGGAGACACAGGGGCAAATACTCAACACATCTCTACACACAGAGAGTTCGCAAGATCCTGGCATCCCATGATCCTCTTTCCCAACCACTCTTCATTTTCTTGTCCTTTCAAGCTGTTCACACACCTCTGCAGTGTCCTCAGGAGTACATCTACCCATTTAATGAAGTGGAGAATGATGCACGAAGGAAGTATGCTGCAATGGTCTCAACAGTAGATGAAGCTGTTCGCAACATAACACTTGCTCTCCGCAAGTATGGATATTATAAAAACAGCGTCCTCATCTTTTCCACTGATAATGGAGGCCAGCCTCTTTCAGGGGGCAGCAATTGGCCACTTAGAGGACGTAAAGGCACTTACTGGGAAGGTGGTGTCCGTGGTTTAGGGTTTGTCCATAGCCCTCTGTTGAGGAAGAAAAGGAGGGTTAGTAAAGCTCTGGTACACATTACCGACTGGTATCCCACACTGGTGGGATTAGCAGGTGGCAATGAATCCCTGACTGAAGGGGTTGATGGTTACAATGTCTGGGAGGCCATTAGTGAGGGAAAAGAGTCACCCAGATATGAGATCCTCCACAACATTGACCCTTTGTACAACCACATGCGCACTGGCTCTTTGCAGAGAGGATTTGGGATTTGGAATACCACAATTCAGGCCTCCATACGATCAGGAGACTGGAAACTCTTGACAGGAGACCCTGGTTATGGAGATTGGATCCCACCTCCTATTCTTCCAGGCTACCCCAGGGATTATTGGTACCTGGAGCGTCACATTAAACCCCGCAAATCAGTGTGGCTCTTTAACATCTCCGGAGACCCATACGAACGTTTTGACCTGTCTGAACAGAGACCAGATGTTGTAAAAGAGCTCTTAGCCAGACTAGTGTACTATAACCGGACGGCGGTACCAGTAAGATACCCAACAGAGGACCCACAGGCAGACCCCCAGCTGAACGGAGGAGCCTGGGGTCCCTGGATGGGTGATGAGGAGGATAAGAACTTGGATACTCTTTTTCAAAAACAAAACACTGAATGGGGGAGGAAGCTTAAGATATTAAAAAACAGGTCATTATTTAAAAATCTCAATACAAGGATGATGTCCAACATAATATAGAAGAAAAATAACTAAGATTAAACTGGCTGAAATGAACTCTGTTCAAATAAGAAACTGTGAATTTTCCCTTAATGAGGAACTAATTCTTAAAGCAAATAATGTAACTTTACACTGCTGATTTATTTCAATTTATATTTAGTTGAAATGTATTCCCAAGCACAACATTATGACAACAAGTTACACATTTGGAAGGAAATATGTTCTCCAGTTGTATTTTAACAAAAGGAGCAAGCAATCTTTTCAAGGAGCAATCTTTTCTAAAACAAACAATGTTAGTTTTAGAAAAGATTCGGGAGAGGGAGGGGGAAGTGGGTAGCACTGCTGCCTTGCAGCAAGAAGGTTCTGGGTTCGATTCCTGGCCCGGGGTCTTTCTGCATTGAGTTTGCATGTTCTCCCTGAGCATGCGTGGGTTCTACTCTGGGTACTCTGGCTTCCTCCCACAGTCCCAAAACATGACTGTTAGGTTAATTGGCTTCTCTAAATTCTCCTTAGGTGTGAGTGTGTGCGTGAATGGTTGTTTGTCCTGTTTGTCTCTGTGTTGCCCTGCGATGAACTGGAGACCTCTCTGGGTGTACCCCGCCTCTCGCCCGTGGACAGTTGGAGATAGGCACCAGCACCCCTCGTGACCCCAGTTGGATTTAAGCGTGTCAGAAAATGGATGAATGGATGAATGGATGGATGGAGAAACAGTATTGCTAAACTGGTCTAGTGATACACTGACACTAGATCATTCCAGTCTATGTATGAGTACAAATACGGATATTTTAGTACTCACTAATACTGATTATTTAACTTCACTTATGTCTACATTCTGCCTGAATTACAACATTTACGAAATGATTTTTAGAGGTGGAGGAAAATTCTGTATGTTTTAATAATATATTAATTATATCTAACAGCTGATTGTTTAGAGGTTGGGCAATTTTTAAAATACATTTAAGTGTACCTGGACAAATGTTTAATATTAAAATGTTTTTCCATCTAAAAATTATTGATTATTCTTTTCTTTTTTTTTTTTTTATTCAAAAAAGGCATTTCCACAGCAAACCATAGTGGTTGAAATAGGCTATAAAGATTGTTCATGTACAGACTTGCTGTACAAAGCCGTTTTTGTTCTTCATCTTTTGGTTTTTGTGATCAATATAGTAATTCTTCCTGAGCCTTAAATGACTCAGAGAATTATAATTAGAGATTAATGGGTTCTAATTATCTTTATAGCTTCCTCTGGGCTGTTACTGGAAATTCTGAATTTGAATTATAATAATAATACCAATGATAACACAATTTAATCACCTGTTCTTTTTAGAGTTTCATTAGGTAATATATTTATTTTTCTCCAGAGCATACATTTTCTGTGCTATTTTAACCAATTGTATTGAATAGGAATTGTAGCTAATCCCTTGTTTGACTTGAGTCCATATCTTTATCCTGAAGGTACAGTTAGGCTTATATAGCACTCGGGAGACAGTGATTTAGGAACATGTCTTACAAATGAAGTGTCACTGGTTCAAACCACTTTTCCATCCTTCTCAGTCATTTTCCTTGGGCGAGAAACCTCACTCTTATTGCCTACCGAGGGTGATGATCAGAGAGCCCAATGGCAGCCTTTTAGGGCGGCCTCACTTATGTTAGTATTCCCAAGGGCAGCTGTAGCTACGATGTAGCTTGTTACCATCAGTGAATGACTGGGTGTGTTATTAACCAAATGTAGTATAAAAGCTCTTTGGTGTCCTTTGACCTGCATATAATTCAACTTCCTTAACAATAAGATTGATACAGTTGGAATAATTTTAATTGATCAGGAGTGTAACCTCTACAGATAGACCAAGCTTCTGTGTGTGCTACAAAGGAGTGGCAATATTGAAGAGGCCTTGTTCTTTTGGCAGTTTCCTATTTTAAAGGTATATGTGATGCAGTTTAACAGACTAACTTCAAAATGGGAAATGTGCCTCCAATGATCCTCCAACATAAACACAAACTCCTGTGATTCTCACTTCCATTATTTGTTGGTAAGCTATGTACATGAAAGAAAAACCCAAGCTGGTTAGGCATTTAGTTATAAAATTTTGTGTGATTGCGGTCAGGCCTTGTTTGATTGTTTCACAGTCTATAGCAGTGATCTAATGAACTTGAATCCAATAAGCCGATTTGTTGGAGGACTCTAGAGGACTTTGCTTTAATTGAGGAGTTCTTTAAGCCATTTGATTCATATATGTTGACCAGGGTGATATCTACAGTAGGAGTCGCAGGATACCTGCCTTTGACACCCCTTTTAGAGAAATCGTCTAACACTAGGGTAAAGTCAAGGTTTAAAAGGAGAATAGAAAGTTGTAGAACATGAAAGTGCCTCTGCGGTACTTGACAGAGTCTGGTTTTGGTAAAAATCACTGGGTCAACTCATGTTTTTTACTGTCTTTCCGGTTTTTAATACTTTGTAATATTCAATTTAAAATAAATTACAGGGAATTATGAAAATCTTGTCCTCTGATGTTAGTTGGAGGAAGATCAGCATCTCTACACATACAATTATGATAACATTATGATAATATAGAGCATATTTCTGATTGACATTATCAGCATATTTTTACACTACTAGCTGCAAATTGCAGAATGTGTCTCGGAGGCTGGTGGTGTTGGTGGAAGGATCTAGTACCCTACTTTGGCTGTAGCAGGAACCCACAGAGGACCTTTCTTTGAGGTTGCATCAAACACTGGAGACCATGAGGTAACCCTTAACAAGGCACTGGAGAGAGAAAGAGAGTCCATCATAAGACAGGTCCTGGACACCCTCATCACAACAAGAAAGTGTGATGGTTTGTCCTTAATCCTCTTGGATAACCAGAGATCATGAGCAAGAGGCAGGAGTAAAGCAGAGGTTTAGTGAACAGGAAATACAGATAGGGACAATGATGACTGAGCTAGGAGTGAAACATTTTGGATTCTGTGCATAGAGATGACAGTGACCTAGGTCTGGGGTTCAGAGGTAACAACAGCTAATTTTCCATTGCTACTAAGCCTGTAGGCTTAAATAAATAAAACAGCAGAGCCTTACTGGGATGTGGGCTCTCTGGCCTAAATGCACCTTTAGTGTTGGCCAGTCAGTCATTCTATTACTGTTAAATACAGTATTTCAATCAAATAGCAATGTTTTTCACTAAGACACTATAGTTAAAAACTTTATATGAGGATTTAGTTTATCAACAAATAGCCTACTTTTACATCTATGTTAAAGCAGCAAAGCTGTCAGGCCAATATTGTTGCTGGGTCAGCTGGGATGTGTAGTGAGATCTCCGGTCTGATCAGAGCTTTAGTATGAGCCACTGGTCAGTCATTACCTGTTGAAAAAGGCTCTATTAATATGGCTTTAAGGGGTACAGTAAAGTACACATAAAATTCTCATCTGTTTTGATACAGAGTTTTGACATTTTCATTTTATGTACCGTAGCTGTTAATTCTAATCTCATTCTAATTGGCGCTATATAAATAAACTGAATTGAATGGAGAAGTGAAGTGTTCTGTCTGATCACTCTCACTTTTCTATTCAATTCAGTTTATTTACATAGTGCCAATTCACATGTCATCTCAAGGGACTTTACAGTTCACCAGATCATACAGTGAAAATGATTCAAAGTTTTCTATTTAAGGAAAACCAGTTGATTGCAGTTGATTGCATCAACGCATTGACTGGAATGCAATCCCTCACAATAAGCATGCCTGTAGTGACAGTGGAGAAAAAAAAACTCCCTTTTAACAGGAAGAAACCTCCAGCAGAACCAGGCTCAGTGTGAGCAGCCATCTGCCGAGGCCGACTTGGGTTCAAGGAGACAGAAGCAGAGATACAAAAAAGAAACTGTAAAAGGCGGCCCCGCCCAGGAAACACACTGCCAGGCAGCAGACTTTTATACTTGATAAGGATGTTGGTAATGTATATTTCTGAAAACACAAGCTACACAAACCAAAGATTTATGTGTATCCAATCAATAACATTATTTCTTTTTACCTTTTTTCCAATTATTGCAAAATTTAAATAACTAAAACAAGGGGAAATCACCTTTGAACTTGTTGCACACAATATAAAACTCTACTTAGTACAATTCTTTACTTTAAATGATGTGTAGAATCTAACTTTGTAACTCATGTTTGTCTTTAATTTAAATTTATTTTTGAATTATCTCTTCAAAATGATGTCTTGCCTCTGATGATTGACCATTTTTTAATAAGATCCAAAATAGAATGACATTCCGGTTAAAATGTCAATAAATTGATCGTGCTGAACAAATTTTTTTCTTGTTTTGAAAAATAAACTTTAGTATTTAATTTGGCTCACTGAAGCAAAGTAGATTTTGATGTGATATCGCTTTTCACAAAATACTGCTGAAATAGACATTGTTCATGACTTAGTTTCAATGTTGTAGTGTTATTTATATAAAGAAAGTAAAAAATTATCTATTTGCAACTATTTATTACCCTTTTTTTTGAGAAATGTGTGCACCAAAATCACAGGCTAGTAGGAGAAGTAAGAGGAAGTTCATTACTTCCTCATTTCAAATATAAATTCTCTAGATTATCATTTATACTTCCTATCAGTGTAAGGTAAAGGTTGACAGAAGGGTGTCATTGCCAAGTGCTTTATTCCTTAATTTGCTGATAATATCTTTTTACAGAATAACATGGAGCATTTTTTTCTTTTTGTCATATTCGCTGGAACAACCTGTGGTAAGAAATTTACAATAAAATACAGACAAAACAATATTGTATTAATATCAGCTTATGTACATTTTCTGCATCTTTTTCAGCATTATCCATACCCCATGAGACTAAATGTGACGAAACCCTGTTTGGATTACCGTGCTATCCTGCTCCTGGAGAAACTTTGTACATTAAACTGATGGGAAATGCCACTGGTTACATCGTGTTGTTTTACAAAGCTCTTCCTGATAAAAATTTGAATTTGGTAATCATGAAGAATGGAACGGTGAAAATACGGGAATCCTACAGAAACAGAATAGAGTTTTTCATTGAAACTGGGACGCTCAAGATCAGTGATTTGAGGAGGGATGATGCAGGTGAATATGGTCTTAAAGTCTACACTCCATTTGGGATGTTGGTACGATGGACCACCTTCACCCTCTCTATTAAAGGTACATTTTTCAAATCTATCCTTATTTTGTGATCAGGTGCAATTAGGATTTTTGGTACCCTAAGAGTAAATGCTTCGTGGTGCCTCCCACCGATAAAATCATCCCCCATTAAATTCATGGACAACATTTAACAAAGACAGAAACATTTTATGAGACAGTAAAAAACAATGGGAAGTGTAATGCAGAAATAGAACTCACCCTATTAAAAACATCCTTATTGACACTTATTTTATGTGCCGTTCTTACTTGGTGTTTTTGTTTGATGCAAAACCATATAATCCTCTAGAA